GGGACATTACTTGTCTTTTTGTAGTGTCTGTTCACCAAAAATACTCTGCTGAATCTCCAACTTCTTCAAGGAAGCTTTTTCTTACTCTTTTTCATATTTCTCATTTTCTCTTCTTATATTAGTGTAACATTTTAACACCATAGATGTGTTCTTCTCCAGCAATGTCTTTATATTTATTACTTTTAGTTGCAGTTTAGTACAGGATTTAGTACAGTACTTATTTTGGGGGGTTTTATACATCTCTTGTTATCTCTTGTTTATCCAATGAATGTCCTCTTCCTCCAGACATTTCCTAATCCTTTAGCCTAGTGATTTTGTAGACTTTGATTTACTGTGCTCTTGGACATTAATTTGAACTTTATACATCCATTGGATACACACCTCTGTCCTTCAACTCAGACACATCTCATTTTCTGAAGTCATCTTTCCTGGCTTACTTTCTTCTAATGCGGTTCAGACTATGACTGGGAGTTGGTTTATTCGGTCAGTCTGGGAGGAGTGACAGGTCTGTAAAGGGGACACATCACACAGTGATGTCACCTCAGATGGGACCATGAAGCTCTTTTTGAAAATTATGCTCATGGAGATTGCCAACTGGCTCAACCACTAAAGGTGCACTTTACAGTTGGTCTCTCTCAGACAGGTATTCCGTGGGTCACATTGCCAGCCCGGTGTAACCGAGATTCCCCAAGTAGTGGCGCACAGATGGCATCTAGTTGTATTAGCTGACCAGGCCTCTCCTGGCTCTCTGCAACACAATGGCCCCTGCAGCTTCTCATGTCAAAAACACACAATGAGTCATTCCAGGTGCTTCTTCAACAAAAATGATTTGCAATTATCAAATTTAAAAAAAAAACTCATTTCCCCCACTGGCACTGCTTTCATTTACACAGTCTCACCACAGTCGAGTGCTGCAATTTTTAAGCGATGAAAGTATTGTAATGAAGAGTCCTTCAAACCAGAATAATCTCGACAGAGTCATTGCATTAATAAAATCGTAAGGCAGATAACAAGGTCTCAGTGCGCAGACAAAACATCAGTGTCTGGTTTGAGCATTCTCACTGATGCGGCTACGCCTGTTGGGGAAGGGACGTTAACCCTCATGTCCGTGGATTTCATGTCAAGTAGTAATGAGGAAATTAAACAATTACTTTTTGAGGTCTTGTTCAAGCTGCAGGCTCTTATCCAGAACCTAGTTTTGGATCATTGTGTATATACATCGAGTAAACCCACACTGACAGATGACGACGTTGGGATCATTTAAATGCATTTTTTGTGACTAAAAAGAACAGTCAATTTGAATGTTTCTTCTTTAGAGTTGTCCATGAAAAATAATAATATGTACAAGAGCCTATAGCTGAAAACACCTAAATGGATACAATTATGCATTTTCAATCTTTTTCATGTTGATGGAGTCTTCCCCATAATAATAATAATAATAATAAAAAGTCCTTAAACTTAGAGTTCATAGCACTTTACAGGTAATGGGGACGCCCCTTCAACACCTACAGTGCATAGCACCACCGGGATGATGTGACGGCAACCAAATTGCACCAGTATGCTCACCACTCCTCAGCTATTGGTGGGGAGGAGAACAAATTGATAAAAGCAAAAACGTAGATGGGAATTATTAGGAGGCCAGGACTGATAAAGGCCATGGGGAAATTTGTCTAGGACACAGAGGTTAAAAACTCCCGGGGAGTTTTAATGGCAAAGGAGAGTCTCGACTTTAGTTTTACATCTCGTATGAAGAATGGCATTTTTTTACAGCATAGAATTCACTATACTTTGACATTAGGATCCAAACAGACCACAGGGTGAGCACTCCCTACTGGTCCTAATTACACCTCTTCCAGCAACAACGTTAGCTTACCAAGAGGTCTCCCATCCAGGTACTGCCCAGCTGGCTCACACCAGCTTAGCTTCAGTGTGCTGCCAGTTGTGAGTTGCAGGTGATGATGCAACCACTTAATAATTTCTAATGTATTCTGTAACCCTGTTAGAAATAAGCAGATTAGTGTCTTACTGTAGTGGAAATTGTCAAGTTGAAAACATTTCAATATAAATTGTCTTTTAAGAGTATTTTAAAATAAGGAGAATGAAAACATCTAGACAAATATTCTGTATATATGTTCCACTTGTGTTGACTTGGCCATGAAAATGGACTGAAAATTCAATCATATTTCTTTCCGTCATCTTAGCAGTGACAGTGATTGGCAAGAATTTAATTGTTCAAAATCAGTGTTGGAAATGGGAAGCCTCTAATCCTACAGTGTCCAGGTCTTTTAGTAGACTTGGTCAGAAAATTCCATTGGGGTTCTTTTATTTAAGAAATTCCAACCACCTGCTGTTTTAGTTAAGTATTCTTTCAAACCTCTGCTGCCTTTTAATCCTGTATTTCATAGTTGTGTGCAAAGTATTCTATGAAGTTTGGGAAAGGAGCCAGCTAACTCCTAGGATTATAAAAGGCCACAACCCATGACATGTCTGAATGGGATCCCAGTGCACACCTAAAGAATGTCTTCTGGCACTAGGAATTTTAAACTGACAAGTTGTTTGTGCACTAAATTAAAAACCAGTCTATCTTGCAGCATTGAATTTGTATTAAATTGGCCTTAATGCTAGTCACATTTTAGTTTTATGTCGGATTTAGCAGAGAAATAGACTAATGTGCAACTGGATATGGCATGTTGCAGTTCAGCAACTTGTCCTTTCTTTTGTTTTATGTTTGTTGATTGCCACAGTGACTGAAGTGAACATTTACTTTTAGAGCTATGTATGAAGAGATAGGAATATGCCTTTGGCCTACAGGAGAGGGTAATGATGATAATACCATGTTGTTCTTAAGAACCTTGCCTTTGTGCACCCATTATGTTTGCTTGAACTGTGAATAGAGAGTCAGAGTGTTCCTTTTCATTTCAGCTTGGCTCAGGTGTTCCAGTGTGAAAAGGCTGTTGAGTTTAGGTTTACTGGAACACTATTGGGTGGAAGAGATCCAAAATACAGTTGGGCATGTCAAGGTTTACTCTTCTTGCATGTCTTTTGAAGACGGTAAAATGGTGAGTTAAAAGTTAGAGAGAATAAAATGGAAAACATCCGCAAATCTGCTTCCCACTTTCTTGCTGTGAAACAGATGATGAACTGTAGCTATAACTTTTAAAACAAAAACTATAATAAGGACTTTGTAACATGTTACATTCAGTTTATAAGATAGTAACATATTATTGACATAACAAACATATAAGAAAGGTTGAAAATAGGCTTACAGACCCAGCTTAACTGTTTTGTATCCATTTAGCCTGATGACCTGAGAGTGCTACGAACCCTTCTTTTGAAAGGTTTTGTTTGCTAGCCCCCCTCAGTATGATCTGGATATCCCCAATCTCTGCAAGAAGTGATTCTTGTTCTTGTTTCTTAATATAGACTGTTATATAGAATATCAGTCAATGTATACATATCCTTTAGTAAAAGTCACGAACACTTTATCTTATGAGTCCAGAAATTACTAGATCATTGAAATTGGGTGAAAGGAGGAGCAGTCACCCACTAGTGCTGTCTGTCAGTCTTAAAGTAAATATTTTTAAAGGCATGATAAGCACAGAATAGTCTAGAGAACAAATCTTATTTCCACACTATAACCTTCTTTTAATTTGCCTGAGGTCTGTGTGTCCACAAACTGATTTTTTATCATGCTTGCCTGCAATTGAGAGTTAAGGGCAAGTAAAAAAAATTTAATTCCTCAGATTTCTGTGTTATTCTTGTTGTTTTATCTTTTAGCACAGAGTCTTAGCTCATATTTTGATTGTGATGGTAAGAGGTCAGGTAGAACAGCCCTTCCATAATAAATAGTTATTATGTCACTGAGATGTTGAAATATTTGGCTGTGTGCCTAATTTGCGTGGTTGTAAAACAGTATATTTACTATTTTACTGGATGCATTTGGTGTAGCAAAGGATGAAAGCTCCTCCCTGTGATAATCAAAATGCCTAACCAGCATTCCTCAGTTAGGATAGGCTACTACAGTCTGGACAAAGACAAGACTTTGAACAAAATTTGGACCTTGAGCTTCAGAAACCTGTAACCTCTGCCCAGGTTGTTAAACATGACCATATATTTTTCTTGCTCAGTTGGCCATAAAATCAAGTTGAAATTTTAAAATGTTTTAATTGGAAGATTTTTTTCTTCCCCAAGGGGGAGGTCACAAAATATCTTGTGCCCAGATATTAATTTCAATTTAAAAAAAATCAGACAGCTTTAAGGTTGTACAGCAGAAAGAAATACTTTATAAAAAAACAGTAGGTGAGCTCTTTGGTTTTTGTAAAAATGTTGTAAAAGGTTCAAAGGCCTAAATTAGAGGTAGTCAAATAGATGTCCTTAGCAACATTTCATGGGGTCAACAGTGTTACTCAGTAATCATTTTAGTCCGTTTTGTATGAACTCTCAACTGTTTGAATTCTTCTTCAGATCTACAGTATATTAAACATCACAGGAAACCTATGACTTATAACTGCCAACCCTATACTATAATTTATAGTCATACAGTTTCCTGTGACTAAGTCTCACAAGGCTGTAGTAGCATTATTCTTATTTCCCAGAGACAAATAAAAGGTTAACAGAAGAGGCAGAACCATCAGTCATAAGTCAATATGGTCAGTTGATTATCAGAAAGAAGTCACTCTCCCATGGACAGTAAATTGTATTGTTGTATATATGGTATGATGTTATGAACTAGTGACCATTAGGATTTTTATGAAATGATGTGTGTAGATCCTTTTTCCAGCTGTCCTAATAACAATTTTATTATTGCTGGTTGTTTGTAATGTACATGCCTGTAGATTTGTTTTCTGAAATGACTTTTCAGAACATTTCCAGTATGGTACCCAAATGAATAACCTTTTTTTAAGATTTGGCCTTCTTCATGAACATAACTGAAACACCTGTAATTAATGTGAACACCTGTTATCTTACTAGTGAAATAAGGTGGGCCTGTTTTCTTTCAGGTATGCATCATTTCTCTTGTGATGGTCTCTGCTGGGTGACTCAAGTGTGCTGTGCTTGCTCTGTCGGCAAATGAGATAAGATCCTTCCGTGATCAGTCAGAAACCTGGTGTTCAGGCCTGCTTCCAATCAGTAACTTTGCACTAGTCTTGACACTTAAGGTAAGGTATTTTTTCATGTACAGTATAATAATATAATAATTTTCTCAAGAATAATTCAGGATTACAGATTTTTTCCAATTAATTTAATTGATTTCCAAGCATACTTTTGCAACACCTCATTTTCTATAAATATATGTCAATTATTTGTTGACAAAATTCATTTAACATGCAGTACAGCCCTGCACCTCTCTCGTTCGTTTTCTGTTCCCTCTTTCTGAATGACTTTTGCCAATCATGCTCATTTCTAATTCATTTTAAAGTGAAGCCAAGGCAGTCAACAAGGATTTACTGTGCATACAGTAGTAAACAACAAAACAATTTGATACACATGAAAATGAAACTTTTATTCAAACATTTCAAAGGTCAACGAATGAAGGAAAATCTTTATCCCAACATGTCAGAGTTTGGTGAACACAATGCCACTGCTATTTTACTCGTAATTTTAAATAATGCAACTGAATCATTTTGATATTTCACCCTACCTTTCTCACTTTCAGCAGCTAAGAATTGTGCTTGTCAGATCTATGTTTTGGAAAAACAATGACTAATTTAACCTAACAGCTACTTTTTATATAGTGGTGAGGTGGAATTTGCATAAGTTACTAATTAAGACAACTTATGTTAATTGTTAATAGAGTATGAGAAATCTTTTTGGTCTTTGGCTTAGTGATAGGTAAAATACATACAGGTACCTGTAATGAACTCTTGGTAATGTTTACTTGGCCTTATTTCTTAATCTCACTGTTACTTATTGTCCCACGTCAAAGAAAAGTAAGCACATTTTCTTGATGCAAGTATCTCAGTCCTGTTGGTTCTTGAAAAGATCAGAAAATTCTCTTTCAGTTTTTCAAGATACATCTTTCATTGGTTCCAGACACCTTTGTACTGCCTGTTGGTTGTTTGTTTTTTATCACTTAAGTAAGATGAAACCAAAATGATGTATTTTTAGGAAATTTAACAATCTATAAACTCCCATCCATTATCTAACTGCTTCATCCAATTTAGGGTTGCATGGTAACTTGTCTTGGTAAGCAGCAGGCGCAAGGCCAGGATACATCCTAGAAAGGATACCATTCTCTTACAGGTCACACACACACTCACACCAGGGCCTGTTTTCTCAGAAGCCAATGAAGCTACCATTATATTTTTGGACTGTGAGAGGAAAACAGATCACCTGGAAGAAACACACGAGAACACAGGGAAAACAAACAGACTCCACAGAGCTAGCACCCCAGATGTGGAATTGGACCCAGGGCTCTAGAGCTGCGAGGCAACAATGCTAACCACTGCACTACCCATGCCATCCTTCTAGAAACATAATGCCAGAAAATTGAAGTGTATTCCTGAAGATTTTCAGATCCATTTTCATTCCCAAACTGTGTTTTTTTCCAAAGCGAACAACTAGCTCCTGGAACCACTATACAAGCACTTCTCTTTAACTTTAATTATTTAATTCCTTGCATTTGTGTGGGGCTTTTCATCTCAAAGGATCAGAAAGCAGTTTGCACACAGGAGAGGGCTCACTATATCCACTACAGAATGGCAGCACCTTTCTGTGTGTAGCATGGCAGGCATTTTGCACCGGAAGCCCCACTACATAACCAATCAGAAAGGAATGTGAAAAGGCTCTTCACCGATTAAGGGGTGTAGTGGTTCTTCTACTGAAGTAGCATGGATTGGAGGACTCAACCATAATCTCTCTAGTAGACGAGAAAGAAGACAGTCAGCTGAGGACTGACGAAACCTAGTGTTTCAATCATTCGCTCCCTAGTTTGGACCTTAACCTTAGCCCTTGAACTTTACCACTTTAGATCTTTTAATTGTTTATTACACCAGCGGATCCTGTTTGGCCAGGAGTTGACTCTCAGGCCTGGAGAGTCTCTCCACAGCCTCACACAGCCACTATTTTAATTTCCTTACAATTTCCGTTTGGACTTTTCAGAATCTCTGAACCTTTGTCTCTCAGAAATACCTGGGTGTTATCCATACCCAAGGCTTTACCGATCTAGTGCCCTGGGAGCAGGCAATCCCGATACTGTCCTGTTATCCTTTAATAAAGGTAAAAATCAGCTGGCTACATTTGACACTGATTTCTCTAATAAACACTGATTTATTGTCAGCTTCTGAAGTGTTTACACTCCGCTCTCAGTGGTCTTACACGAGCTCAGCACCCTGCTTCTTC